TTCGATACCCGTGGTTGGCAGAGCACAGGTAGCCCATTGTGTAGCTTTGTGCATAATTACAAACAAACTCTCCTAAAAATACTGTTTTTGTTAAGACTGGAACTATGATGTGTAAATAACACTAGCCATATCCTAATAATAAGCAACATATAACTCTCACAATACAACAATTATTACAATAGCGACATCATGATGTGCTGTAATAATGATTTTGATCAATAGATTTTCTTTCTTTTCTTCGCAACTGACAACACTTCCAACGAACTGTATTTTTTACTTATTGTTGTCTTGTCTATAACATCCCTGAGAATTCACTAAACTGACGCAATAAGAGCACAGCTGTCAACGACTATTGATCATGTTTCGCGCTCAGAATAACATTCAAATATTTGCTGATTTTTATCCGCTGTTACTGTATCCAACCTTTACCTTGACTAGTTTGAAACAAACAAGTTCTGGTCAAAGAATGTCTTATCCTCTTTTAACAAACATATTGGAGTAATACATATTCACTTTTCTTTGCACATTCCTAGACTAGGAATTTTATTTTTGTCTCTTGAAGATATATATGAAACAACTTCTACAATATTTATTGTTGTCCATTTTAATATTTTCTGTTCTGATCGTTTATCTTCTGCACTGTCCTATAGATTCTTTGTAATTTGTTATTTTGTGTAATAATTACTTACTGCTCCCCCTCCCCGATGTTATTATCAGTCGTAATCTTGAACATCCAGATAATTTACATCGTGCATTGAGAAAATAGTTGATGGTATGTACAGAGCCAAATCTTAAGGAAATAATAGTAGGCCATTATTCGAAGATCATTTAATTACGTAACTCATACATTTCTTTACCTATTGACTAACTTAGTCTTTAATCAATGTGCTTATTGTGTGTTATTCAGAACATTAATTACTACAATCACACGATGTGACACACACTCCTCTTACAAGTTGTTTAACAAAGTCCTTAAGTAACTTTTTGGGACGATTTGTTTGTTTGTAATTAAGCACAAAGCTACAGAATGGGCTATCTGTGCTCTGCCAACCACGGGTATCGAAACCAGCGTTGTAAGTCCGCAGACATACCGCTGTGCCACTGGGGGACTTTTGGGACGAAGCTATCGATAGTACATTACCCATAGTTTACTGCTACTCATGGGTGATATCCGGAATGTTACTACGTTTTTTATCGTTCTATTTTGAACAGATTTCTATCTGTTGTAATTTAAAACAAAGCATCTTTAAACCGGTCTTTAAAGTTTTGTTTTTGTTTTTATAATCAGTCACAGTTGCATAACGTTCTCCTAATTTGTTTCGATTTTTAGAAAATGTCATGAAACATTTGGAAAAGTGCTTACGTAATATTGTCAAATAGCATTATATATATTAAATATATTTTATTACGTAATATTGTCAAATAGCATTATATATATTAAATATATTTTATTACGTAATATTGTCAAATAGCATTATATATATACATTAAATATATTTTTATTACGTAATATTGTCAAATAGCATTATATATATATTAAATATATTTTTATTACGTAATATTGTCAAATAGCATTAGATATATTTTTATTACGTAATATTGTCAAATAGCATTAAATATATTTTTATTACGTAATATTGTCAAATAGCATTAGATATATTTTTATTACGTAATATTGTCAAATAGCATTAGATATATTTTTATTACGTAATATTGTCAAATAGCATTAAATATATTTTTATTATGTAATATTGTCAAATAGCATTAAATATATTTTTATTACGTAATAAAATAAAATAATAATTTTAAAAAAAACATCAAGTGTTTCGACATTAATCGTTTTTTTTTCGTTATTTAGATCAAACTATAGAACATTTTCATTAAGAATACAAAATGAGAATTGTAATAAAAACGTAATGATCTTAACAATGTGTACCTTAAATTAGGTATACCCGATCATTCCTTTAACGTTTAATGTTACTGTCATTGATTGTATTAGGTTGAATGTTTAATACATCAGTTTTTATTATTATACTTTTATTAGAGAGATTATTTTGTCATTGTTAACTTATTACATGGATTTAGGACTAAACTAAGTCTCTTAAGCTGGCTGAACCTTGTGAGATATTATTGGATTTACACCTTAAAAAATCGGTAACAGCAAGAAGACCCAACTAACAAAACAATACATTCTAATCTTTATAAGTAAGAACGTGAAAAACAGTATGATTTGATTACTTACACTCATTATCGAGTAATCTTCATTTTGGATCTAAATAAGTAGCTTGCTCTGATCAGAAGTTAATATTAAATTGCTCCTGTTAAATACATACTATTCACAAAATAATAAATATTACAGAATTCATACTAGTAGCTTGCTCTGATCAGAAGTTAATATTAAATTGCTCCTGTTAAATACATACCATTCACAAAATAATAAATATTACAGAATTCATACTAGTAGCTTGCTCTGATCAGAAGTTAATATTGAATTGCTCCTGTTAAATACATACCATTCACAAAATAATAAATATTACAGAATTCATACTAATAACCTTTTTTTTTCTTTTTATTCCTGTAAACTCCGGGTGGAGCATAAGGCCGCAACAACACCTCGCCAACGGAAGTTGTTGTTTCAGTTACTTGTAGCAGGTTGTTTTTTTTTTTACGGGGTGGAGTTGCTAGCCCCGCGCCCAACCCTCCTCCTTTCTCATCCTGGACTTGGGACCAGGCAATGGTGGAGGTGAGCATGTTTGGTGTGACGGGGATTCGAACCCGCGACCCTCAGATTACGAGTCGAGCGCCCTAACCACCTGGAGTAATAACCTTACGGATGTATTATAATCGTACATGCAGAGCAATATTTTGCTAATGTGGTATAACTGGATCCGTCATCCAAATTATTGTGTGAAAACGTGTTCACGTGCGCAGTAATTAGTTTTATTTATTGATGCGCTCAATTAGTTATTCACAATCCAGCAGATCACTATATATATAAATGATGTATATACTGTTTATATATGTGGAACGATAATAATCTGTTCGGAATGATAGTTTTTCTTGATTCAGAAAACTGCCATACAAGTTTGTATATTAAGAGACAGTGTTTGTGTTGCTAGGAAACGAGCTACATTAGGAATGATGAACGTATATACGATGTTGCTATAAAATATGTGACAGAAAAATGCAGTAGTTAGAGAAATGGCCCAAGTTTGTGCAGAATAATATATATATATATATGTTCTATGTGTACTAAACTTTACTTTAAAAAATCAATATAACAACAGCTTTCTCAAGGTTGCAAAGAGAATGTACCGAATACTTTGTTTAACGTCTCTGGAGGATTCAAGCTGAAAGCCGTAACGGTGATTGTATTTTTTTCTTTATATTTACTAAAACGTTTTAGAAAGAAGACTACACGCTAAGAAGTAAAATATGTAACTTATGATACGAAAAAAGACAAACGAAAATCGGAAGATGGATTGGTTAATATATATACAAGGAGAGTGTTAAATAAACAAACCAGAGGAATGAAAACAGCGATTCAAAGTCACAGGTAATTTGGTTACTAGGCAAGCAAACAATAAGAGTACTTAAACAAACTGATGAAGGGATCGATAATAGAAGTATTATAAATTACGGTATCTTTGTATCGAATTATTGATAATTGTCGCTAAGTAAAGTTGTTAAAAAAGAGCTTTAATTTTATATTTACATAAGATGTTTGTGACAATTTTTCTCAAAATAAAACGTATACACGTGACTCGATTCAAAGCTAGTATTTTAAAGTTCATTGGATAATTCTGAGCAGAATAAAAGTATTCACTTACCATGGATTGCATCAACTTGATAGAAAGTGACCAAACAGAACAAAATGAAACACATATTTAGTTTCTTAAAGCTTCTGGTCATCCAAAATGACCTATGTATCCTTTTAGATAACATTTTACCCAAATCTGTTGAAACTTGTTAGGTATGACGCGAAAGCCTACAAAGCTTTTACTTCTTATGATTTAGTTTATCTAGGACTAAATATTTGCTTAGGCTGATGAAATAAGTTTGATTTTCAACAAGAACTGGCAGGCCATGCCACCCTACCGTGCTTCAATTTTTATTGTTATTTGAGCCACAGCTAGTGAACTTGTGCGCGTGTTCAAAAATACAAGTTCAAGAGTCTCTGTGATTATAACAGTGCAACATTCAACTACATAGCAACCTTAACTACGTAATCGATACGTCAGTTCAGCAACATCCAATAGCAGTATGGTACATGGCCAAACAACCAAATGAAAAAGCAAGAAAATCTACGGAGAGCTTTACCGTAAAAAAAAAGAAAAAAGATTACATTAAGAGCAGAAAAAATAAAAACAATTTTCTTCTAAAGAAAGAGTATTAGATGCTTTTAAAAGGTAGATTTAAAATTTATAATGTATTTCGGAGAAAATTGATCGCAGTGGAAGTTGGTTTTTTGTTTATCATACGAAAAGTTTCATAAAGCGACTAATGCAACCGCAAGACATAAAATACAAAAAAGGAGTTATTTCTTGTATTTCATAATTCGTGCAAAGACTCTTACAAAATTATGGAATAACGTGACAAAAGCTGAAAAAATACGTTTTTCAAGACGTACTTAATAAAATAATCAGAGTATGGGGTTTTCTTTTTTCTCAAAATAAATTAGAACGTGGTACAATTTCGGGAAGTTCACGCGGACATTAGCTACCATATTTAAAGCATAGAGAAAACAATCAATGGGATTTTTTTCATTTAATATTATATATGTATAAGACATTTATATAATCTCGTTTATCTTCGTTAGATGTTTTATTTTATAAAGAGGGTAAGTTTCTTTTTTTGATAGTGTCTGCTAATGCTTATTACGAATTCTTTCATGAACGGCTAAATCGTCAGATCATCAAAGAATCTTTAATCACAATGGATATATATATTTTAACTTATTTGATATATTTAATAATTTAAATATTTTTCAGTTGAATTCAACAAATGAAACTTTTGGATTAGCCTCCTTGCTATCACCTATTTTTAAAAGATTGTAACTAACAAATTCCTTGAAAGACTATGTTTTCTGCTTGCAGTAATCACATCAATGACAATAATGATTGTTTTACACATAACTAGATTTCATGCAGTGGGAATATACAGATGTGAAGCATGAATGAGATCAAATGTAAATCAAAAACTTTGTAGGTTAGAGCTCACCATCGGCTAATGAATAAATAGATCGAGTATAATGATGAAGCGAAGAAATACCACAAACATAAAAAGAGTGATGGTGTATTCGAATAAAATAGGCATGCACATGACAATTACATGATATAATGAAATAGGCATGCACATGACAATTACATGATATAATAAAATAGGCATGCACATGACAATTACATGATATAATGAAATAGGCATGCACATGACAATTACATGATATAATAAA